CGGGACGTTTTAATAGCTAGTTTGCCTGTTTTTATGAGATAATAATTGAGTTTAGTGGTCAAAATACGATGTAATATCGATCGACGTTTTCTGGGGTGGGTGGGTGTAATGCGTGTTTGGGTGTGTGAAATACAGGGTGTATAAAAAAACGCAACCTCGAAATTTCCCAAGAAATCGACATGGTTTTAAAGACAAAAGATTTTATGCGCCTGGGAATTTAAAATGTCAAAATTATTGCACACGCGAGTGCATAAAGCAAAATTTATGCATTTATTTAATCACAACAACAGTAATAAGATCTATTAGCAATTCGATTTCAATTCCCAGGGGCTTAAAATCTTTTATGCTTAAAAATTGCAAAGTGATTTCTTAGGAAATTCCAAGGTTGCGTTTTTTTTTATACACCCTGTATAACGTCCACGTTATTTGTGGCAACATGAATATGGACGTGGCCCCTTATTTAAACTGTGCTATTGATGACTCGGTAATTTTGGACCTGCACAGCATATTCTCCATGTCATCTGTGAAATTTTGCTTATTACTTAATTTGGTTATCAGGAGGTGATCAACGGCTATGCTCTTCATTAATTATAATTATTAATTTCTAATGGTTGATGGTTATTGCTTATGCCCCTGAAGAATATTAGAAACTATATTACTAGTCCTCTTGAAACATTCTCTACCCTAAAAGAAAAATTTTTCAACCCAGAACACAATACTGACATAAAACACAGTAGAAATTTGATGGAACACCAGATGCAATATATCACCTTATTATTTCACAATGATACTTATCCAAAGCCTTCTGGGAACTAGATGTGCAAGTGTGTACTATTTATGCATTTGGAGTAGGACTGTATACAATCTATAATTAATAATATATACTGTAGACTAAATCAAGTATAATTAAAGCACTGGAGCTATATCTTTCATTTCTGCTTTGTATGTACAGTATTATGTTAACTTTTGCCAAAATGTTAAGGTTATAATAAGGTGCATGCTAACCATGCCTCATCACCTTCCTACATAATCCCAAGCAATTTTGTTGCTGCCCTTTCCCTTTACCGACGGAGCGAATTCGAACGCCTTGAGCAGACATCTTGTTTGAATCTAAAACATACACATTAACTATTTTTACGATTTTTTTTCTCTGTTGGTGTTATGTACTCAGTTGAATATGATGTTTGTGATGTTATTCTAATATTCTGAGTGTATATCCACACCGAGCAAGCTTGAAAAATATGCCTGGCCACGGTGAGAATCGAACCTACAACTTTAGAATACCAACCCAATGCTCTGCCAACTGAGCTACGCGGTCAGGTCGGTTCGAGTATGTGATATTTTGGAGTCTAGTTCCTTCGATATCAGTGCAATATCTAGTAATCATGATTTTTTTCTGTGTTGATGTTATGTACTCAGGTGAATATGATGTTTGTGATGTTATTCTAATATTCTGAGTGTATATCCACACTGGGCAAGCTTGAAAAATATGCCTGGCCACGGTGAGAATCGAACCTACAACCTTTACAATACTAACCCAATGCTCTGCCAACTGAGCTACGCTGTCAGGTCGGTTCGAGTATGTGATATTTCGGAGTCTAGTTCCTTCGATATTAGTGCAATATCTAGTAATCATGATTTTTTTCTGTGTTGGTGTTATGTACTCAGGTGAATATGATGTTTGTGATGTTACTCTGAGTTTATATCCACAGCGGAAAAGCTTGAAAAATATGCCTGGCCACGTTGAGAATCGAACCTACGATCTTTAGAGTACTAGCTCAATACGTGCCCAGGTATAATTTTCAAGCTTGCCCGGTGTGGATATACACTCAGAGTACACACATCATATACACTCAGAGTATACACATCATATTTACAAATTGTTTGCAATTGAAGTAAAATAATTAGAATACTAGTTTCCTGATATAACCATAGTAGGCTTACTTTGGCCCTTTGAAAGCCAATATTAAAAATTCCATAATTTGTTGGAGCTTTTGATATGTGTCGTGTATTTAGATTATACTTTTAACAAAATATGAATAATACTTAAGCATGGCCGATCTACATATTTAATGCGCATGTCCGTGCGTATGACCGCTGTCCGTCTATATCTATATATCTAACACCATCTCCCCTCTTAAGGAATGTATCATAAACTATTGTTCATGAGTTCACTATAGTGTTCGAACAATTATGTTAACCATAACAGTAAGTAATAAAGCAGTTTTCTATGTAGTTTTCTTAAACAGTTTTCGGATCAAACAGTTAAGACCCAACCTCTCGGGTGGTTGGTGTGATCTAGTTGGGTAACGTTGTCCAGATCCTGTTGTAGCCCTACCGGCTTCTTCTTGTTGCACTACTGGTGGATTCGTGGCTAGTTCGATATCCGGCTCTGCGACAATTTCTTCTGCTGGTGCAATATTCTGGCCAGTCTCTCCGAGCTCTGGATGAGGTTCAGCCGTATCATCACTCTGGTCAGGGGCGGCGCTAACCCTCTTCGAGTGGGGGGGTGTGAGTGATCTTTTGCCGACTGTTGTTTGGTAATTTTGCCGAGTCATTAGCCTATAGTGAGGGTCCTGAAGGGGGGGGGGGGTCCCTATCCCATTTTCCACCTAAAATTTTGGCAAAATCCCAGTTCCAGTTGGATTTTTATTAGAAATCCCAGTCGGAGTTATTGAAATCCCAGTCAATAAAAAACCCTTTATTTATCGGTAGAATAAACAGGTTTAATACCTTTGAAGCCACCGTATGTGCAAGTGGCGGACACTTTATGAAATATTGGGGGGGGGAGCTCCCCTTTTTTAATTTGAATCCCGGAAATGGCATTTGCATCATTCTGAGACACGCATAATCAGAAAACCCAAAATTCCGGGCGCCAGAGTATTCCTGTTCGCAGGTAATGCTGTGAATAATATAGTTAACTACAAAAATGACTAAAGACACCAAAAACGGATTAAAATTGGGAATCGACTCACATTACTTCAATCCTATTCCCATTTTTGAGGACTTCATTTCCCATTCCCAGTGGCCAAATCCCAGTCCCAGCAACCCAAATCCCATTTTCCCAGTCTAAAAATAGATCAATCCCAGTTCCTATTTTACCCCTTCAGGGCCATCTATGTTTAAATGCGCTTTATTACCCTCTATTAAGTCGGTTTTCCACTAGCGAATTTTTCTGCGCGAAGCGACCTAGCTTTTTCCTTTGTCGGCATCCATTTTGCAGCCCTCGAAAAGTCAAAACCGTCAAAACTGAGGTCGGCAAAAGAGGGCCGACCTAAATCTGACCTAGGTCGGCACATCTCGGCATTTCTTAAGATCTGCTCCACGTCTTGGAGCAATATTAATCACGCATTTACGAATCATTGAAATCGGAATATAACTGGAACGTTATCTCCAGCCGGAAAATTCGAAAGTTGGAGCCAAATTTTAACTCCAGACGCGCGAAATTTGATCTTCAAACATCTAACGTATATACACAATACCCGTCAGTTTTTAAACCTTACACCGTAGTGTGTTCAGTTAATCGAATTCGCTGACATTTTAAAAGCTATCAACATAAAAATTCTTACTTTGGTTGAATTAAGGTGGGCAAAAATTTGCATTTAACCCGGCATTGCCGAATGCTGACCTCGTTTTCGAGGATTGATTTTGCCACGTCTTGCTGACGTAATAAGTGATACCGACAAAGGAAAAAGGTCGCTTCGTGCGAGAAAATTCGCTAGTGGAAAACCGACTTTATTGCCTCTTTTATAGAACAGTATAATAAGCAACAACAACAACAACAACAACAACGACAACGACAACAACAACAACAACAACAACAACAACAACAACAACAACCACCAAACAAATTTAATTACCTAATTATGATTTCAATAATATTATGTTTTTGGACTAGCTGCCAGAAGTGAAGATACTGTATTCGAAAAAAATTGCATTGCTGCATGTCTGGTTTCTTTGATGCATGCTATTCGTGATATTCGGTTTGAATTCAATTATTCAGGAGGTCAATTTTGGTTTCTTCAGTGGTTAACATTAGCCAATCCAGTTTTGCCGACTGAGATAACAATTTGCCGATTAGGTGACGAGTGGGGGGTGTTCCACCCCCCCCACACACACACACACCCTCCTGTAGCGCCGCCCCTGACTCTGGTCATTTACTTTCACACTCGAGGCTCGAAGCTGGTCGATGTGACGTCGCCAAATTCGATTTGGACAAACTTTTATCTCGTACGAAAGGGGTCCCGTTTGAGCTCGAACTATGCCTGGTAGCCACTTGTCTTTTCCACTGTAGTTACGTGCCATGACTGTCTGACCAATGGATAACTGGCGTGTGGGGGAATGTCCTTTCCTTCCCGCTTGATCGATTTGCCTGTTCATCACTTTCGAATTCCTTTGTAAATCAGGTTTCACCAAATCGAGGCGAGTCCATAGCGGTCTGCCCAAAAACAACACGGACGGTGATTCTCCAGTCGAATGCGGGCTATTCCGGTAAGCCAAAAGGAACTTTGCCATATTGGTTTTCAGCTGGGATGCACTTTGTTTCTCGCATTTCATAGCATGTTTGAAACTCTGAACAAAACGTTTCGCTTGACCGTTGGTTGCAGGGTGGAATGGGGCCGTGGTAATAAGCTTGATACCATTAGTCTTTAAAAATAGTTGGAACTCTGCGGATGTAAATTGTGGCCCATTGTCGGTCACCACCTGTGCTGGCACTCCATATCGGGGAAAAATGGTTCGAAGTCGGTCAATGGTTTGCGTCGATGTGGTGGATGGCATTATTTCCACTTCAGGCCACTTCGAGTGTGCATCTACAATGATAAGGAACATTCGTCCTAGGAACGGCCCAGCAAAATCTAAATGGATTCTCTGCCAAGGTGTGGTTGGCCATTCCCAGGGGTGTAGTGGTACTTTGCCGGCTTCATTCTGTTGAAGTTGACAACCAGGGCAGCTCTTCGCTAGGTGCTGAATGTCCTTATCAATTTTGGGCCACTAGATGTAACTTGGCGCCAGAGACTTCATTTTAACAATACCGAGGTGACCTTCGTGAAGCTCGGTTAACACTTGATTACGCAACTTTGCAGGAATGACTGCTCTGTGTCCAAGCATTAGGACACCACAGTGAACTGTCAACAACAGGAAGGCTTTTGCTGGGATGAAAGATTGAAGTGAGAGGCTCATGATCAGTCAGTAAGGTAAAGTTCCTACCGAAAAGGCAATTGTGGAATTTCTTGACTCCCCACACTGTAGCAAGCGCTTCTTTATCTATCTGTGCGTAGTTGCGCTCCGCCTTCGACAGGGATCTCGATGCAAACGCTATCGGTCGCTCTGTTCCGTCTGTCATGACATGGGACAGTACCGCTCCAATTCCTACAGGTGAAGCATCACAAGCCAGTTGTAAGGGAAGGTTAGGATCATAATGTGTAAGCACCAGATCTGAAACAACCATTGCTTTAACTTTGCAAAAGGCTTCTTCGCATTGATCTGTCCAGTTCCATTGGTAGTTACTTTCCAGCATTTGGTTCAATGGATG